CAACACTGAGCTTTGTCTCGTTCTTGGGGGGATTTATTTTATGCTGTTCCAGTTTGACTGCTAGGAGTGTTAATCTATTCATATGGTTTTTCCTATTCGGCTGTTTACGGCATTCATATGGTTTCCTGTTCGGCGGATTGGTTTTCTGCAGTAGCTGTGCCTGCATCTCTGGGAAGGGGAAGATCTCCTAAACGGCGGTTTAACCCTTTTATGCTGAGGGTGCCGTTACACACACACACATATATATATATATATATATATATATATATATTATATTTACACATATTAATGTACATTTATATAGGTATAATGTAGCAAAGCAGTAGTATTATCCACGGTATCTCCGCTGGTATACAGAATCAAACAGGCACAAAGCAGGTAAAATCCAGGTAGCGTAGTTACAATGCCTTCTTCCCAAGAACTAGACGACACATAGCTTGGAGGTCAACTGAGGTTTATTTTCAGGTCACGGTATTTATGGGATTCCCCATGCAAGGGGTTTCCCTACTGACATTTCAGGGGTGGTACAGTAGGGGACTACATGGGGAACTGACCAACCCACACATTTTTCCCATCATGCACTGCTGGACGAGAGGGATACTCCCACTGGAATATACTGTTAATGGGATTATCCCTCCATGCAGCAGAACTCACATTTTACATTAAAATACATAACTTTAACAATATTCACTAGTTTTACACGAATGGACGTTCGGTAGATAGCTGGAGGCTGAGCGCATCGTTCGTGAGAATACCGCTCAGCTCCCAGTCTAACTAACCGAACGCCGTACGAAATACATATAATTTCTAACATTGGTTTTAAAATACCGATTATCGTAAGGGGAATAAACTACCGAACGGCCGAGGTTCCTGAACGGCCTGGAAGTCCGCTGTTCTTGCCTAGTATCCTGGTGCTCGTCCGCGAGTTTAGCGGCATCTTGTAAGGTACAGGGTTTACGGTCCCTTACCCAGTTCTGCATCTCGGTGGATAATCTCCGGTAGAATTGTTTCAATAGCAGTAGCTGCATGATATCCTGCTTAGTGGTTGCTTGCGCTGCTGCAATCCACCCGGTGGCTGCTCTTTGTAGGCGATGTGCAAATTCAGCGTGAGAGTCCTTCTCCTGTTTTTTCAGGTCCCGGAATTGGAGTCGGTACGCCTCCGGAGTGATGGCATATCGAGCTAGGATGGCTTGCTTTACTTTATGGTTGTCTCTGCTGTCCTCATCCGGCGCGGCCAGATAATTTACCAGCCAGCAGGGGTACTTGATCATGTGGCCTGATCTCATGCAGCTGGCACAGTCTTTCGAAGTCCTGCGAATATCCATCAATATCGCCCTCTGTGTCCGTGAAGTTTTTAAAAGCCTGGTAGGGAATTTTCGGTTTTCCCTGTATGATGCTAGGTGGAGCCAGTGACCCCTCTCTGAGTGGGTGGTTTGCGTGGCCCTGTTTGGCCATGATGTATTCCTGTACATCTGCCATGATCCTGTCGAACGTCTCCTGTGGTGGGGTGGTTGGGTACAGAGCTATCCTGCTCTTGAATTCTATTTCAAATTCCGTTTGCTCTTTCCTCGTTGGAGGTGCTGCAGCAGCTGCGGCTCTGTCCCCTTCCATCAGCTCCTCAATTAGAACAGCCTTTGCCTTGTTGCTGGCTATTGTTCCTCTCGCTTCTAGTAACTCCTTTAATGTGCTGCGTTTTAAAAGTGCATAATTCGTTTCCATTCACCGGCTGTTTGTGCGTTTCCACGTACTCTCGAACTCCG